TCATTAAGGTAATCTAATGAAGCCTGGGAGACCCAAAGCAAGCGTTTAGCCATGAATCTGAAATCTTGCGTTTAGATGAGGGAAAAGGTCGAAGCCACGATGTAGCCAACTTTACATTAATATAGCCATGACTGTAAATTGCGCCTGTATGCCGATTAGGCTAGATACCAGAGATTTACAGGCAGACACTTCAGACACAAGGGCAGACGAGAGAGCGAGAATATGCCTGTGCTGGAGAAAAAGGAGGGGATGTACTTCTGTTTAAACCGCCTGAGCCTGAAGAAGGGGGAAATTCAGGTGTCAGAGATGCAACAGAACGTGGCCTCCTACGCCTTGGAGGGTGTGTGCGGGTCATTGTCTCAGCTCCCCAGATTCTGCAGCCTTTCACGTTTTCAGGCTCAGCTGCAAAATTGCTTATGTTGGCACTTGGAAATACATGACGGGCCAGGAGAGAGTGCTGCATTTCAGGTAAGTTGGTACTGTCTTCATGCCCTGGGCCCTGTGCACCAAGACCCTGCTGACGCGCTCTGCAACCTGAGGCCACATGATTTCATCGTGACCCTCGTTCTACAAAGGCAAGACAGCTTGACACTCTGTCTGCTGGCTCCTGCGAACAGCAAGGGTAGCTGTTGTCAGCGATCATCCATCGTAGTTCGCAGCTTGCCTTGCACGGCGGCGTCAGTCTTCTGGGCCGCGCTCTCGCAGGAAAGAGGAGAGGAAAGCCGAAGAGGATGATTCTGCGAAGAAGGACGGCAGAAAAGCTGAGGACGACGAAGATGAGTCGACAAAAAGATTGGTCGTTGTCGGCATGAGGCTAGGGATCAACATCGATTGCAGGTCTGACTATTCGTGACACCTTGCTTAGCTCTCTGCAGGTTCTTCTTGCGAGCGCTTTCTGATCAAGGCTCGACTGGAAAATTGAAGACGCTGGAAACTCGCTTTGAGATATTTCCCGTACTTTTGTCGCAGTTGCGTGGTGGGGGGTGGCGGCGTCTGTAGTGTAGTGGTGTTGGTGCTGGGTTGTGCGGTGACGGTGGTTGTAGTTGGAACTTAAAACGCCGCCGGGGTGGTGGGGTTTTGCCCAGAAGTGGGAAACCTATAAGCCCTTGCTGCATGGTGTACAATGGGCGTAAAGAACCCCACCTGAACTTGAAGGGCAGTCAGCAGCTTCACTTGCCCATGGCAGGTCATGAAGCCATGGAACGTGCAGCGAAGGAGCGCGTGCACAGCCTATGCTGAGATGTCTGTTGCATCGCTCAGCAGGATGCAGGCGGTAGTAGCCGCTCCTTTGATAGTCGTCAAAGGCAGGGCCTGGAGTCCATGCTTTGCCGGCACAGCCCAGAGCGAACTCTTTCGGTCCGTTTCGCGGATTCGCGTGCTCAGTCTCTTGGAGTTCTTCGAGCGCCTGTCGCGACGACATGCCGCCAATGCATCGCGCGGCAGCCTCGAGGGCAACAGCAACACATTTGACATGCACTGCCCTTTGCACCGCCCGCAGCAGAGGCGTCTGGGCATCCAACTGAGCTTTCCCCCGGTACAGTGGGCTGCTTTGGTCCGCCATGCAAGCTTGATGGCACTTGCCTCAAAGCAGTGCCAGCAGATCCCTGGACCAGTGGCTCTGCTACTCCCTCTGCTTGGCACAAAACCTGTACAGCTACACATGTTTCTTGCGGTCACCTGGCAGCAGCTGGAATGCCTTGATGCCTTCCGTTTTCCCGGCCGCAATCGCCAAGAGAATTGCTGAACAACAGCAGGTGTACAGGAATCGAGTTGCAGGAGCAAAGGAGAGTTCACAGGCATGCCAGCACATCATGCCTACGGTTTCAGAATCACCTGCAAAGTGCCAGTTTAGTTGGCAGTCTTCTTCGCAGCCGTGAGACGGACCCTGTGGACCGTAGCAATGGCTAGATCGCAAGGACGGCTGTGGCCTGGTGTGGCGCGATGGACTAATTCCGAAGATAAAGACCCGAACTGGGAAGTGAGCCCGTGGTGAGACCGCGCCGACGTGGAACCCTTCTGCACCTCACCAGAATGATGCCACCAAGTGTGCTGAACTTCTGGGCGAGCCCTTCGGTTCCATGGACTTGGAAGTCTTGGAAGCCGCAAACGTGCAGTTACGAGGAGGTAAGCTGTGGGGGCTGGCTGGGGCCATCTCCCGACTAGGCAAAGCGGGTGAATGGTATGCTGCCCTGCAGCTGCTGCACAGCTCTGACTACCTGGCCAAGACCAAAGACAAGGCCTATCGGCCGGACACGGCTGCATTCAATGCAGGCATGAAGATTTTGGACAAGCTCGGTAGATGGAGACAAGTGGTGGCGACCCTGGAAGGCATGCAACATATGCTCACTCGACAGAGCATCGTTACTATGGGCAGTGTCGTGAACAGTTTAGTTGAAGCTGCGAGGAATCGAGTTGGTGAGGCTTGGCTCCGAGCTTTAGCCGTCGTGGCGGATGTGAGACACACGACTCCTGGCACTGGTGTAGTGCTGATGAACACATTGCTGGCTGCTAGCAGCGCCGATGCACGCTGGCAGATAAGCATGCAGATCCTGCAAGGGGCAGTGTGGCAGTCAACTGAAACCGACATCATATCCTGGAACTCAGCAATGGCAGCTTCAAGGAACGAGTGGAAGACCGGCCTGCACTGCCTTGCAGCCCTGCGGCTGCAAGCTTTGGTTGCTGACGTCATCTCCCTCAGCTCTGCGGCCCAGTGCTGTGCAGGCGAGCTGCAGTGGCAACAGATGCTCTTCTTCATGGGAGGCCCGTTTCAACGCAGCACGCCCGGCATCAACGCAGGCATGACAGGCCTTTCTCGAAGAAGCTGCTGGCAGCAGGCAACGGGCATCAGGGAGCACCAAGCCGTGGGTATCTAGGTCGTGTAGACAGGATTGCTTGGTCACAGTTTGGCAGTTTGGAGTTGTTTTGTGCCGATGCCTTCGAAGGTCCTCCATGCATTTGGACAGCTCAAGTCCGGGTTATTCGGCTTGCGAGCAGATTCAATTTCAGTGGGAGTGTGCATCGATGCACTTCAGACCTCCAAGCTTTGGCTTCGAGCGTTGGACGCTGGCTTGTCTTCGGAGGCATGTGGCCTTCAGCCAGACGTGGCCACCTGGAACAGGATGTGCACAAGCAGTGGTTCCATGAGCTGGCATCATGCCTTTGTCGTGCTCGAAACCTTGGAGGGCAAGCTCCTGAAAAGCGATGCCGCGACATACTCCTGTCTGTCTTCAGTCTGTAGCAACACCCACGGCTGGAGAGAGTCTCTGTCAGTACTGGCGAAGTCTAGCACGATGAAGCACGTGGCGAACAAAGTTCGCTTGGATGATCTGCTGTTGCCAGTGGTTTCTCTTGGAGCTTGTGTCAAGGCTTCCAACTGGGAAGGCGCCCTTGGACTCGCAGATTGTCGGCTTCTGAAGTCACAAGGGCAATCTGGCCATCTGATCGCTGCTTTGGTGTCCTTGACGGAAGGCCACAGCAAGGTCTCCCAGTGGGAGGCCTCCATTCAGCTTTTGGAGCAAGATGCCTGGCAAGGAGGCAAGCCTTCCTTGCATGTGTTCAGCGCTGCGGCGAGCAGCAGCCGGCACCTCAGAAATCCGACGAACTGCCTGAAACCTCCGAAAGGGGTCTCTAATCTGATGAAAGCAAGAACCAGGCCCGACTCGGCCGACGAAGTTGTGTAACGAGTTCAGCTCCGAGGTCTTGAGCCGAGCTCCTGGCGTGCATCTCTGGCTCTCCTTCAATCAACTCAGTCTCTGTCCTTGCAGAAAGACACCGTCTGCCAGAACTCTGTTGCTGCCAGCTGCGGGGCGGCTATGCAGTGGTTGGCTGCGGTGTCGCTTTCCAGTGAGCTCCTGCAGGTCGGCCTTCAAAGCAGCGAAGTCACTCACGGAGTGCTGCTGTCAATCTGCGAGGATTGGCGAATGGCTTTGCACTGTGTCCAACAGGTGTCCCGGCCCCAGGCTGGCCAGCTTAACCTATCGAGCGCTGTGCTGGGTGCTGCGATCAGCACATACAGCAGCGGAATGCGGTGGATGGAAGCGTGGAGTCTGCTCAAAGACACAGACTTTGCGAAGCGATCCTTTGATCGCTGGTACCCATCCTTTGAAGCTGTTCTTTTGGCGTCCTCCATGGCTGGCCACCATGAGACTACCCGGCACCAACTAACTCGTATCAGGACTGAGTTCCTATGTGCGCTGCGACCAGCGCCACGGCAGCGAGCACCTGCACAAAAAGGAAGGACTGGCGGTAATCGAATTAGACGGGAGGTTTGACGGCTGGGAAGTTGTGGGCCTGTGAGGTGGATGTTGTGTTGAGAAATGCTTACTTGCGAATGGACTGCGCAACGCGTTTTTGGATCTTTGATTCTCCCACCAGGCGATCCTTGCGACGGTCCTGGGATCGTTGCCGCATTTCGATGAAACAGCATTTCAACACGATGCTCACTATGTGGGGTTCTACATGAAGGGATTTAATTACCCAAGTCCGCATGTCGCATGCTGAATCAATCGCGTTTTGATTGCCGCGCCGATCCAGTGCTTCATGCTGAAGGCTTTTGGCTCGAGGCAGAAATTGCCGGCCCATTATCAAGCCTTAGCGTGATGATTTTGCAGTACTTCTTTTGATCAATTTTCGATCTTGCATGATGTTCTTTAGCACCAGCTTGGTGTTGGCAACTCGGCGGCTTTCAGTGTGCGATTTCGAGTGTACCGCCCTCAAAGCTCAGCATGCAGGGTCTTCACGCTAAAGCCTCGTTCAAAGGGAGTTGCTATGCGCAGAGCTCGGTCCCCTTCAAACAAACACTGCGCAGCACTGCTGTAAGACAACTGTCCGGCGGCAGCTTTCGCATTCTGACATCCGAGGTGATTGCAGCGTTGGCAGAGCCATCGCAGGTACATGTTGGCAATGCTGGCTGGGGGCTACTCTTCGATGGCGTAGACGACATCGTGCTCCTTGAGAACATGCCCGCACCACCTTTCACCATCGAATTCTGGGCCCAGCCTTTGGATCTGAAGGATTCGGCGAAAACTTTGTTGCAACTGCCCTGTAGGCTTCAATGCTAAACCTCAGACCTCACACCAATCCTCCACAACGTGTTCATTCGTGGTCTTGCTCCTCTTGTTTGAGGGTATTGCGCCCGAAACCCGACTCTCACACTTTCTTTGGGCAGGATGGTGGTGGAAGGGCTTTAGCATCATACAATGTCAATGCCGCGATGATCTCCCGAGTCACACCGACGGGTCTCATCCTGCGGCCGAGCAGCAAGAGTCATGCACCCCTGCATCCCACCCCAGCTTCAGTCTTTGGGGAGGATGGAAGAACTAGGTTTGCGGGAGGGCTGACGTCACCGGTGCTCAATAGTAAGACTGCCTGGCTCAGGTCGATACTCGAGCTTGGGGCAGAGATTCACACATCGACGGCTACCGTGGACTCGTTCGGTTCACCGCCTGCTCCTGGGGAGATATTTCATTGGGCCATGTCCCTCGGCAAGGACGGAGACTATGCAGTGTACATCAATGGCGACGGCGTTGCCATGGGAATTTTGGCAGAGGAAGACATGCGGGCTATCACGGATGAGTACATGGCCTTTCCATGGACACTGGGGGGACGATTTGGACGCAATCTGGGCCAGTATGTGCCTTTCCTTAATTTGAACTTTGGTCAGTTGCATCATGCCCTGCATCGTAGGTTCGTCCTAGGGGAGGTAAAAATTGGTCAGTCGGGTTCAGTGGGGCCAAAATCAAAAGCATCCAACATCCCTGACACCGAGGTAACCGATGACCGTGCTTTCGGAGGAGTTCTGGACGAGATCCGAGTATGGAGTTGTGTTCGCAGTCCTGCGGAAATCCGGGACAACAGGCGACCGTTCTAGGGACGCCATGCCATGCCTTCAATCGTCCCCCAAGCCTCTTAATAAAGGCATGTATGTCTCACGTTCAAACACTGTCGTCTGCCACTCCAACTCGAGATGCCGGTGTTTCACTTCTAGACCCCAATCGACAGGTTCTTACACAACCTTGAGGGACCTGCAGCCGCGAATCTGACGCTTCAACTGGGCTTTAACATGCCAGACGATGCTCGGCTGGTGAAAGTTGACTTCATATGATTGAAATGGGCTTTAGGACACAGGGTTCATGAGATTCGGGGCCGATGACTTCTGCTTGTGTTGGAAGTGACCCTATGACATAGAGTTCATTCAGCAGAACGGAAATGGCAATACACCTCCCCCACCGCTTGCTTTCATGTTGACAGCCTACACCCGATCGATACCCTAAACTCAGAGCTAGTTTGGCTCAAGCACCCTGAAAGACCAACATAGGCTTACATGTGGTCGTGGTATCTGCTCTGCATCCTGATTTCGTAGGGGTTTTTACTCCGCCAGGGAACGCGAGGACATGTGCCGGTGGACGCCCAGCAACACAGGCTTCTCTTGCTGACAAGGAGCTAGCGTAACAAAATCTGGTCAACCGTCCCCCGGGAAGCCCCAAGTGAGCCAGACAGATGAGAAATTGTTTGAGAAGCACAAATCAGAGAGTCCAGGCATGCGTGCAGTGCACAGTGTATCTTTACAGCTCCGTTCCCATGCTTTGGCCTGAACTGTGTCGAACGGGCTGGTTCTGTTGGATGATAGATCTACTTGCTGTGCCTGCTCCCTGCTTGCTGCCTGACAGGATGCGACCTTCAGTTCTGGATGGTTTGGTACCGGGTCGCTGCGGTCTCCGTAGCCCTCGCTAGTCTGGGGTGGGATTAGACATTTGATTTTATGGTGGTTAGTTGTTCGGACGGTGCCGGTGGTGTTACGGTAGCAAGGTTGGAGACGTCGTGAACGCGCTGGCCGACCGAAAGAAAGGTTCAAGAAGCAGGCGCCCAAAGAAAAACTGTTTTCAGCCTTGACAAAATTATGCACAATGCGTCTACTTGGAGTTAACCGAAATATACCGACATTCTTTGACCCGCCATGAACACTGTCCCGTGAGCAGCGCATAGAGACGCCCCATGTACATGCAATAGGTCCATTGAGCGAACCCGAAAGGGAACTGTTGCTGCGGTTGGTCGGTTTCTTGCCCCTTTCAGTGCAGTGTCTAGTTGCAGGACCCCCCCCGTTGCCAAGACTCAGATTCACATTTGAACGGAAACCTTTACGCCAAGAAACGGACGTCGCGGGAAGCTGAGGCAAATCCGATGGAAGTTTCATTTCTACCATTGGCTTTTTTCGGGAGGCTGTTTTCGAAGCGCTTTGAACTTTCCGGCCGTTTGGTCATCAAGAAAGAATGCAAAGAACTCTCGCCTTGGCAAGCCTTTGCCGACAGCCAAAGCACCGCGCAACTGTGTTACCGAGCACCTCGGTTTAAGGGAAGGCGCTAAGGCAAAGCAGGATGGCAAACACCCAGCGGCCGGGCTATTTAGCCGGTTGTGGCAACTACCGTTCAATCTCAGAACGGCTTCCGCTTCCCGGGTCCGAAGAAGTAGTAAAAGAACACAAGGATTTTGCAGGAACCCTTGCTTGATTCTGTGTGCCCTTATCGGCTGTGCTGTAGCCTTAGGCCTAGGTATACAAGCTCCAGCGTCCTTCTCAGGAAAGTCCACCAATGGCGTTGCTCGGAGCTGGCGTCCGTTTCAAGACTCCGACGTGGGTGCCCTCTCCGATCCCAGGCAGGGAAGGGTATAGGATTTAGGGCTCAGGATAGATCAGGATGGGGGTTTAGGGTTTATTAATGTTTATTACGCATGTGCGTTGAGAGGATTTGGGCTACACAGCGTGTTCTGATTGAGGTGAAAAGAATTGTCCATCAGTGCATTGCATTCCCAGTGCATTCCTCTATCTACAGAGTACTGTATCAGGCGTATAGCATGAAGCTTGGTATGCTCTCAGAGGATCTTCTGATCTGGCACTTATAGGTACTTACCGAACTGGTCATCAGAAAACAGTGTTCAAGATAGCTACTGGGTACAGGGGCAGTGCCGGTTAAGAAACAGGTGTTTCTCGTGAGGGGGGCTCGATTTCTTAATTTTGAAGTGCTCTTTCGTTAGTAAAAAAACAAATCAAGGAGACTGAGGGATTTGAGCCCAGCAACTTCCATTCTAGTACATGCGCTTATCCACTCGGGCATGGCATCCCTTTGGCATGCTTCTTGCATGCCAAATTTATAGGCTATACAGCTTGTATTCAGCAAATACCCAAAATAAGAAATTGAGCACCTCAATTTCTTAAATTTCAGAAGTCGAGCCCCTAAATTTTTTGGTGGTTTTTTTCGTATATGAAAAGCCTTATTAAGCCCTTATCAGGCCCTTCTTAACCCGTTATAGAGCCTCTAAAGCTGTTACTAGGGCCATATTATGCCCTTCTTAGTCAAGCCCTGAACCCCCAAAATAAGAAATTGAGCACCCCCTCAATTTCTGATTTGATAAGGCTTTGTCATATACGAGAAATCAACCAACATAAGAAATTGAGGGGCTCGATGTCTTAAATTGAAGAAGTTGAGCTCGATTTCTTATGTTGGGGGGTTCAGGACGGTGGAAGAAACTGAGGCGCTGTCGGATGCCCAAGAATCCGCGAAGGTAGCTGTAGGTCAGTTGGCAAGCGCAAGGCTTAAGGCAGTGGGCTCGAATCCCACCGGTGTCTTGACATGCGCCCAGCTTTTGGTTCCATTAAGCCCTACTATAACAGCTCTGGAGGGCTTTCAAGGCTCTGCAAGGGCTTAAGAAAGGCTGTATAAGGACTTTTGAAGGCTCGGTCAAGCGGAAAGTCAGTTGGCAAAAGCGTGGGCCAAGACGGTGGGTGTCTTTCCATGTGCCCAGCTTTTTTTGCAATACCAAATCTAGTCCCTTAGTTTCAGAATGAGACGAGTAAAATAAGAAATTTGCACGCCGAGGTCAGGGTACCCCCTGGATTTCTTATTTCAATTTGCGCGTTCTTTGCACATTGATTTTTGTCGAACGGCTGTCCGAGGGGCTCAGTTTCTTAAGCCAAGGAGTTTCTTAAGCAGTGCTGTTACTGTAGCTGAACAAGTACCCCCCAAACTCCGGCTCAACCCGCGGCACATGGTGTTCAACACCTGCTGCACAAAGACAAGGAGCAAGAGCCCTGGTAGCAGCTAGCGCTATTTGGGGCGAGAACGTGAAAACCTTTCAGATCCTTTCGCTCTTATAGAAACTGCTGTGCGTGTCATGCCATATCCACGGCCACATTCACGCCCTGGAATGGCAGAGGGCGGGGGGGCGGGGGTGCGAGATCTGCTGCGCACGAAGGCGCTGCAAAAAGCCCAGGACGTCA